GCTGGTCTCTGCCTTTCTGCGCCAACGTCCATCCTCAGACACTGTGGGGCCCTGTGCGCTCGCGCTGACCTCAAACAACAGGCTTGGGGCCTACTTGGACAGCACCCTGCCAACCGAGGTAGACAATCCCCTTGACTACTGGGCAACGAAACTTGACCTTTGACCCCAACTAGCTGAATTTGCCCTTGAAAGGCTGTCATGCCCGGCCAGTAGCGTGGCATCGGAGCGCGTGTTTAGTGCGGCAGGAGGTATTGCAACTCCGCGGAGGACACGACTGTCCCACCCAAAGTGTGGAGAGACTCACGTTTGTGAAAATGAATCAGGCGTGGATTAGTCTGGATTTCAAACCACTAGTTCCTGACACAACTGACTAAATCCGCCATGAATCATGCCCCAAACATGTGCCACTTTCAGGTCTTCTCACACACTGCTTGTGTTTTCAATTTTTTGACATAGGGTGCTGGCAGATTACGGGCCTCCCATAGCTGCTGCCAGGCCCCTAATCTGCCATGGGCCCCTATATACCGCCTCCTCATGCTGCTGCCAGGTCCAGAGTCTCTCATGCCATGTGCCACTTTCAGGTCTCCTCACACACTGCTGGTGTTTTCAATTTTTGTCATAGGGTGCTGGCAGATTACGGGCCTCCTATAGCTGCTGCCAGGCCCCTAATCTGCCATGGGCCCCTATACCGCCTCCTCATGCTGCTGCCAGGTCCACAGTCTCTCATGGGTCCCTGTACGGCCTCCCATTGCTGCTGTCTCCATCGCCACACTCTGCCATGTGCCACTTTCAGGTCTCCTCACACACTGCTGGTGTGTTCCATTTTTTGTCATAGGGTGCTGGCAGATTACGGGCCTCCCATTGCTGCTGCCAGGCCTGTAATCTGCCATGGGCCCCCGTACCGCCTGGTCACGCTGCTGCTGGGTCCACAGTGTGACATGGGTCCTTGTACCGCCTCCCATTGCTCCCACTCTGCCATGTGCCACTTTCAGGTCTCCTCACACTCCTGCTGGTTTCCATTTTGTCATAGGTTGCTGTATGGCCTCCCATTGCTGCTGCCTCCACCGCCACACTGTGGCTCCAAACACTGGTTTTGGCCCCGTGACTGGCCAAATGAGTGAAGTGTGCGGTGATTCTAAGATCGACGGCACTCATCTGCATGTCATACTGAGTGACAGTATTATTTCTCTTCCCCAGCAGACTCCAAGGGCATTTAAATTAAAGGTACAGTGTTCTGCACTAATATTAAGTCTCTCTGAAGCCTAGAAACACCCTTTTTTAAGTTAAATTCACAGCGAATTTATTCGACTCGAATCGAATATTGTCCACGAATTCGCCGAATCAGTCGAATCGAATTTTTCATTTCTTCGCTCATCTCTAATAACAAGCATGCTTTACTGCATATACAGACTGATTTTACTGCTGTGGGTTTAGCAACACTTTAGCTAATATATGAAACCAATTCCGAAAACCAAACATTCTAACATAACGAATACGATGAAACAAAATTATTAAGTAAACAAACTAATCCGAAATAAAAAACATATATTTCCATCATCCACATCTCTACTCTATATATTGGTATATTATGGCTAACACTACTTAAATAGCAGCTCCACCCAAAAGGGGAAGTTCCACTTTAAGCCTTTGTTCCCCACTCCCCATTAAGGTTTGGCACCTTTGGGAAGCGGGGGGGAATGGGTACCCAAATTTGACAGGTACCCGCTCCCACTTCCGCTGCGATTGCTTAGGTGATTGGGAGCGGAAGTTGTCCTCCCCTTCCTCCCCATAGTCTTCTGGGACACATGACAGGTCCCAGAAGACTACGGGGCCATTCACAAAGCGCAGTGCTTCTCGCGAATGTTTCAGCGGGCACCTGGCTGTGAAGCCGCAAGTTGTCACAGCCGGGTGCCCACACTGAAGATGTCAGCGCCGGGGAGAGAAGATGGTCGGTGAAACCAGTGGTGGTGAGCAGGGGTGGACTGACAACTCATGGGGCCCCCCCGGCCAATAGGGGATCATGGGGCCCCTGTGTCCTTGCCCAAACTCAAAAAAGCCTATGAAAAAGGTACCAGGGGCATCTCATGGGGACCCCTACTGACCCCGGGCCCTCGGGCAGTGCCGAGTTTCCAAATGGTCAGTCCGCCCCTGGTGGTGAGGACATTGCGGGACCAAGGGACAGGTAAGTGTCTGCATTTTAAGAGTCAGCAGCTACAGTTTTTGTTGCTGCTGACTCTTAGTTATTTATTTCTTTTCAGGTGGAACTCCGCTTTAACTGGTGTAACACTCACCTGTTCCATGTCCCAGTGCCAGGTCTTTCCTTCTGTGTACTAGCACATTATGACAGACTTACCGAATGCAGCCCTCCAGTGCTGAACTGTCACCGCTCCTGGCATTTCCATCTTTGCCTGGGCTTCCTTCTGGGTTCTCGCTCTCCAGCTGTTTGAATGATCGGGCCGCGATGACATCACTGCGCAACCATTGCAGTACAGCGCTTTGCAACCATAGTGAATGCAGAGTGTAATGCTTATGTGCCAGTGATGTCATCAGCTGGACCTGATGTAAAGGTGTACTAAACGGCACACAATTAGGCCATTTCCAAGGTCCCTACAGGTAAGACTTAGGGCCAATTCACACTATACAGTATGTGGTGACAGACATTTTACTGCATGATAAAACGTCTGTCACCGTAGGGATATAGGAAAAAAATTGTTTCCTATGTGTGTCCCATTCACACTGCAGCGCAGTCTAGTACTGCTCTGTAAAACGCAGACATGCTGCATTTTATCGCTTTGCACCATCCCGCGACGAATTGCACTGCAATGTCAGGCAGTGCAACATACCTCCCAACATTGCAATGTATAAAGTGTATGTTTTGTACACTTCACATAAAGCTGGTACAAAAAAAAAAAAGGACGGTTTGGTGTGCTAAATTGTGCACCACACTGCCCCCTAGCTAGCTGGTGACGCAGAACAGCCGAAGTGCTGAATCGCTGTGGCTGCTCTGCGATTTCCCAGATTTGTTGTGTGAATACGCCTTATAATAAGCTTACCTGTAGGACAAACTTTAAAGTCAGAGTTTAATATCACTTTAAAGCCAACCAAAAGGGGAAGTTCCGCTTTAAAGATTGGTCCCCTTTTAGGATTGGCACCTTTGAGGGGCGGGGGGAACGGGTAACCGAATTTGACAGGTACCCGCTCCCACTGCAATTACCTAAGCGATCCTACCCTCCCTCCCCGAAGTCTTGTAGGACACGTGACAGGTCCCAGAAGATGATGGGACCATTCAGGATGCCGGCCTCCTGGAATACAGGACGGTTGGTGAAACGGGCTGCAGCGGGGGCAACGCACGATTGTGGGACAGGTAAGTGGCTGTTTTTTAAAAGTTTATCAGCTACAGTTTTTGTAGCTGCTGACTTTTATTTTTTAACAGAGAGAGTGGTACTCCGCTTTAAATACTCATAGTTCATACCAATGGTTGGCACTGTTATTCCCTTTTTTGAGTCCTTAGAGCAGTTTATAAACGCAGGTTTGGCTATGGTTTTGCAGCCTGCCTGATCAAATATTCCCCCATGACAATGGCGGATCATCAGTCATCCTACCATTTCTGTGTGGTTCAGAAATCTATTTTTTATTTTCTCTTCTATTTCTGTTTGTGGAAATTCAGCAGCAGATCGTGTATTAGCGAGCCAACACTACCACGTATACCAAAAGCATAATAATAATAATACTCATAATGATAATAAACTGCTTCAAATGTTACACTAATTATTACTTTAAAACTCCCTTCAAAGTTAGATTAATTTATTGTTATCTCCAAATTAAACTCCTAAATCTTCATTAAAAATGTCTCGGATATAAGTGCATTATGTATTAAGGAACTGATGTGTAAACCCATTTTACTCTGCGACTTGCTGCTCCATGCCTCTGTAGCTGAATTTAAATTGAAACAATGGAGGAACATTTTTCTTTGTCTTTGAAGTTACTTGACCATGTAGCTATGCAACCATGTAATCTAATCCTTCAACCTGCTCTTACACATCCTGCAGAGTTACTGCCTGAAAACAAAACCTTATCCAGGATAGAGGAAGATTGTGAACATTTGATCAAAAATATAAGGAACAATGCTTTCCAACCATGTATGGGTATATTAAAGCGATTGTGGATTGTTTTTTGAATATGTTTCATTTATTATGAGGACTAAAAATATAAAACATATTTAAATTTTTTTATAATTTTTTACAGAAATATGACATCATATGTATGAATATTTTATATTTACCACTTGCAGTCAGCAGGTGGTACTATAGGACACACTTTTGCTTTTTTTTTAACCTGTCTGACTTAAGGCAGACCTTCACCCTAAACATACACTTTCTTTCCCCTGCTGTCTACCCCTACCTCTCTCACATTTGGATGTTTTTTACTGCTTCCATCTTTTTCGCCTAGATGAGTATGTCATTTGCCACCCCCCCAGATTCTACAATTCTACACATGCATATAAACTGTATGCCACAGGGCTTTGGGTTTCAGCAGATCCCTGCAGCACATCTGCACATGCGCAGATTTCCAGCACAAGTACAAAGGTGGAGTCAGTATGGAAATTTCAACATTTGGCTTGTCTGCCACACATTTCTTCATCACACCATGTTACTTCCTCAAGGGTAGACAGCTAAAGGAAGTCACATGGGGTGATGACGAAACACGTTGAAACCTTGTGATGTCATCACGTTGCCCAGATGTAACCACTGGGTTTGCTTAACCTCCCTAGCGGTATGATTATTTCAGATTTTTGTAGCTGACAGCGGTACCATTTTGCATGGAAATATGTATTTTTTTTTATTGTAGGCCTGTAATTTAGGAATAACTCACTGAAATCTGACCGAACAAGAGTCTAGTAAACATTCCGGATAGGATAAAACTTGAAACACAAAATCCAAATTTTATAATTTAATAAATAATCATAAAAAATAATAATATAATAATAAAAAATTTAATTCAATAATATAATAAAACCAAAATCACTGAAATTTGAAATATACGCCAAGTTCGCACATTGCTGAGCAAAGTCGCAGAATCGTTTTCAGTGTCTGATGCCGAATTTCCCCCACGAATCATCATTATCACTCAATTCTGCAAGTGGTTGTGATTTACTATCGCTGTTCTCTAGCCGGTCTAAAGCCAATTTTGACCTAAAGGGACGCTTTTTGGATGCCATGGACTTTTCTCAGTTTCCAGGCAGAAAGAACAGTCAAAATGCAGGCAGGGCACAGGACAAAGCACTCGGGACAAAATGTATGTGAAATGCTTTGAAACAGTAATGTTATACTATGTAATAATAATTTAAAAAAAAATTTCAAATTTACCTCTGGTTCCGGAGCTCGTACGTCCCGACGTCACAGGGACTGGAACACGGAAGCCGGATGCCGGCATCGGCCGGAGGAGATGGCTGGGGACGCTGCGGGGGGACGTATCGCGGGAGCGAAGGACAAGGTAAGCGCTGCAGGGACTCCCTATGCAATGCTGCATGGTAAGCCCGAGTGTAGCTCGGGGTTACCGCTTTTGGTACTGAAACTCTACCCCGAGCTACACTCGGGAATACCGCCAGGGAGGTTAATGATGCAGGAGCCTATCCCTTGGGGGGAAATATACCTGTAAATTTCAAAGTGGTCTGTGGTGGTGCACAAACATTTTAGTGCACTTTACTTGTGAGTGCAATATTGTATTGCTTTAATAAAGTGCCATCATTTATAAAAAGGCTAACACACAATGAGAGTTTTGAGCTGTTTCCTGACTGTCGCTAAGGTTTATAGTGGCACCAAGAATAAGAGCTAAGGGGAGAAGGCGATATCCAGAGGCAAGGTCCGGAGGCACCCTAAGGAGCTGAATGGGACCACTTAAAGTGACTGTATTTTATTTTTTAAAAATAACAAAAATCTCATACTTACCTGCTCTGTGTAATGGTTTTGCACAAAGCAGTCCCGATCCTCCTCTTTTTGGGTGCTCCACCCCTCCCCCTTACTGAGTGCCCCCACAGCAAGCCACTTGTTGTGGGGGCACTTCTGCGTGCTCGCTCCTGAGCTGGCTCTGAGTGTCCTGCCCCCTGTTCACTTCTCACTGGCTGTGATTGACAGCGTTGGGCATTCATTCATTCCATTGACCAGAATATTAACCTGCATTCCTCTGTGTGGGTGGTGCGGCTGCAGGTATTCGTGCGAGTCCCGCATTCCTCTGTGTGGGTGGTGCGG